ATGCCTCGCCCACGTGTGTCAAGGGAGTGGAGGCCCTGTGCGCTGAACACCAAACAGCCTCATGACAGCTGATGACAGCAAGAGACCAGGAGAGCGGGCGGGCCTCTGCACGACCGACAGAGAAGGAAAGCCCCGAAAGCAGTGGGTGGCAGTTGTGTGGTTGTGACGGAGTACGGCAAAGAATCCTAAGCCAAGGATATTGTACAAGAATACATGAAATGGGGAAAAAAAAGCAAATAAAACTTGGCTAATTGTTTAAAAAAAAAAAATAGAGCCTTGGAAACCCTATGGGGCAATTCTAATCTGTCCTAAAGGGTTGCTCTAAAAGTGAGTCAACGAGCGAGCGACAGGTGTATCAGATGGCTGTTGTCACTGCGACACCGCTGGAGGCCTGCACCACCTTCATCGCGGTTTGAGCCCACGGTTGCAGGCGTGGTGTCAACCCACCTTGTCAAAGTTCACCTTCTTTTTCTCCGCTCTTCTACTTTACGACATATGACGTTGTTTCCCCAGAAACTGTGCTGGTAGATTACTAATTAATCCTCCATGCATGGAACACTTGGTGGTTTTAAAGCTATGAAAAGGGCGCTGGTAGCATAGTGGGTTTTTAAGAATAGGACGGAGATACATGCAAACTTATTTAGAATATATCCATGCATACATGCTTCTATGTGCAGAATCATTTGTATTTCAAATATATATTCTCTTTCAAATTATAAAAATCGGTTTTCACTGCAAGATGAGAATGGATGCATGTAGTAAGAATTTATTCTTTAACCTTTATATTCGGTTTGAACTTTCACTGCCGTTGAATGGATTGACTCAGTAAACCTATAGAGCAGAGTAGAACTACCAACCCTGTGGGTTTCTGAGACTATACAGCTTATGGGAGCAGAAAACTTCATCTTTAAAAAAAAAAAAACAGAAAAAGAAAACTTCATCTTTCTCCGAGCATCTGGCTCATGGTTTTGAACTTCTGACCTTGTAATTAGCAACCCAATGCATAACCCATTACACAACCAGGGCTCCCAATTTGACCTGGTCACTTTAATTCTGGGAATTTATCCTACAGAAGTACTCACAAAGACATCTGCACACAAATGTTTAATGCAGCAGGGTAATACCAAAAAGAGAGAGAGATGACTTAAGAAATATCTAGAAAGAAAGAAAGGAGGTCTGGTGGGACTGTCGGCTAACCCATGGACAGTTAACTCTAAGGTTGGCAGTTCAAACCTCACCAGCTGCTCTTGTAAAGATCAACAGCCTCAGAAACTCTATCTAGGAAACCCTATGAGTCGGAATCAACTCAGGGGCAGTGGGCTTGAGTTTTGCTTCTGGGCTCATGCTCTATCTACGATGGGAAACAGTGTGTCTCATTTCAAACTGAGGTCAACCTATAGGTGCGGGTATGGAAAGAATTCTAAAACATGTTTTTTAACGAGAAAAAAAAAGTCACAGAGAAGGATGTGTGTACAGGGTGGCCCCATTTATGTACAAAATACAGCGCGAACATTATTTCCTCTTTGAACCAGGGAGAACCTGTGGCTTCCTTGCCCCCTCCTCCCAAGGCTCCACTGAAAGAAAAAGACAGCACTCAAAAATCATTTGTAAAAAAACAAAGGCAGGTGTTATTTTATAAACCAATCCCATATACAATCTATAAAACAGTGCTTTTAAAACGTCCCACATTTGTGCACAGGTCATCTCGAGTCAAGCGCTCTATTCAGCATGTTATAGACCACACCTACTTTGGGGCTGTCTTCCAAACATATGGGGAGGGGCTTAAAGCCAGGGAAGCCTTCTATAATTTCATATTTAATAACCGGTGAACAAATATTGTTAATAAATAACCCAACTATGATTAAAAAATTTTTAAAAATTAAATGGTCAATGTTATTCTTAATGTCAACACTCTGGACAGCGCAGACGAGGCGGCAGATTCCACCGCTGGGAATACACGTGACAGGAAACCTGGGCCTGCACTTGCATTTCCCGAGACGTGAAATAGCGGTACACAACAGCACCTGAAGGATCAACGGGAAACAGAAGTCCCCTAAGTCAAGAAGGTCCCTCAGAGCTGACCAGTGAAGCAGCCGGGGAGCACGCTGCTGGCTTCTCGTCTAGTGGAAGACACACTCCCAGGGGTCCTCAGTGCCCGGTGCTCGGACAGAAGCTTCACACAGAGCCTGGCGAAACTGCAGATTCGTGGGCCGGTGTCCAGAGGGAAGTGGGATCAGGAGGCTCCAGGGCCTTCGTGTTGACAGGAGCCCCACGAGGATGGTGGCGTCCCTGAGCTCCGCAGACAGTCAGGTGCATGACTACTCCCAGAGAGGTTGGCAGTTCCGTCCCCCTGAGGCCTGGCCATCGCTTCCAAAGGGTCGTAGCCTTGAAGACCCTGTGGCGGTCTCGGCTGCACAGCAGCTTTGTTTTTTGAGTAAGACCATGATGTCAACAGTGTTAGACGAACCACCTCAACACTGACTTCTCCCGCTCCGCCCTGACTCATTGCTAAGCGTTGGAAACTTGCCTCCGAGCAGGTCACCTTTTAGTTTGCTCATCTGGAAAATCACTTAATTGGTCTATTAATCCTTGACACCTGGCCCGTAAGTCCTAATAAGGCTAGACTGGACCCCGGATATAAAGGAAATGGCGCTGCAGCTAAGAAATTCATCCTCAAGCCATGAGCAGTTTTCCCAAGTAAAAAGGATTCTCTTTCTGCCCCCGTCTGAAGCATCCACTTCCGACAGCACTTCAGTTTCTGGAAACATCTGCATCGAGGAATTCTCAAACTGACGACATCTCATGCAAACAGGGAAGCTTCTAGCAACACCGGGAGGCATGTGGTGGGCCACACTCTGTTAGGAAATGATAACAGAACACACCCAGAACATGATGTCGACCTGAGGTGATTGCAAAGCTTCCCTCGTGGGCGGCGTGGACAACTCAGTAGGAGGTTTTCACGCTGGTTGAACTTGTCGAGTAGGAGCTGGACTTCCTGGAGAACTTCTTCGAGGTAAGAGACACTTGCATCTGCTTTACAGCGCGGACACTTCGACAGCGCAGCGCATTCTTCGCGTGATCCCGGAAATCCTTGGAGATAAAGTAATAGACAAAGGGGTCGATGCAGCTGTTGAGGGTGGAGAGGCAGAGGGCGGCGATGTAAAGGGCGTAGACGTGGCTCTGGCCCTGGCTTTTGATCAGAAAATAGTGCACGACGAGCAGGAGGTTGCTAGGCGTGAAGCAGATCAGGTACATGGCCAGGACGGTGACAATGAGCTTGATGGCCTTCTGCCTCTTCTTCCCCGAGTTTCTGTCCATGGCAGACGACCGCAGCACCCGGATCATCAGCACGTACGCAGAGGCGGTGAGGAAGGCGGGGAACAGGAAGACGCCAATGGCCAAAGAGAGAAAATAATTGAACATGTCACCCACCAACACATCCTCGGGCAAGACATCATGGCAGGTGGTGATGTTCAGGGCTGGAATGCGGATGGTCTGCTTTACAGCATACAAGGGGATGGTGACCAGCATAATCAAGAGCCAGATTCCCAGGGAGACACCGACAGCGATGGTGGCCTTCCTCCTGGTGTGCCCCATGGGGTTCACGATGACCCAGTACCTCTGCACACTGAGGCAGGTCATGAAGAGGATGGAGCAGTACATGTTCCCATAGAAAAAGCCAATCAGCACCTTGCAGAGACCTTCCCCATAAACCCAGTTGTTGCCATGGACGTGGTAGGCGATCTTCAAGGGGAACCAGATGACGGAGAGGAGGTCAGCCAAGGCCAGGTTGGCCATGTAAATCATGGCGGGGTGCTTCTTCTGTGTCCGGAAAAGAAAGACCCACAGGGCCATGCCATTGCTCGGCAAGCCAACCACAAAGACAATGGTGTAGACGACTGGGAGGAAGACGGTCGTGAGTTTTCCCGTGAGGACAGAGGTGGAGAAGGCATCCACAGAAAAGCCTGGATCCACGGTCATGCCAGGTCCTTTTCCAATGACAGGAGATGAGCCATTACTCCGACCAATAAGACTTCTTCCTTTAGAGTTTTGATGGAATCCTGTACAAGAAAGGCAAAGAAGATGGGTTACTACAGAACAAACATTGCAGCAGGAACACTGGTTTGTTCAAGTAACGCACTTTAGATTAAGGCAGGTATGTAGCAGTGGAGGAGCCCCAGTGGCATAGTGGAGTTCACGTTGGGCTGTTAACCTCAAGTTCAGCAGTTCAAAACCACCAGCCACTCCAAGGAATAAAAATGCTTTCTACAATCGTAAATAGTTACAGTGAAAAATTAGGTGAAGAGCCTGGCCATCTTCTTCCAAACTATCAGCCAATGTTGCATTTAATCGTAGTCCTACTCTAAAAACAGTTAGTTCTTCTGATGTGGCCCTACACAATACTTGCCCTCATGAAGGGATCGCTACCTATGTGGGTGCTATAGCAAAGTGTGGTGAAGAAGCCAGATGGTGCCTGGCTATCAGAACGAATAGCACCTGGGGTCTTAAAGGTCTGTCTTCAAACAAGCAGCCATCTAGGTGAAGCACCAGCTAAGTCCACACAGAAGCAGCCCATCAGCCTGTGTGATCCAAGGACTGTAGATAATAAAACCCAACACTGGAGGAGGGAGCCATATTAGAGCTTAAATTCTGAGCACCCAGTTTGCAGAAGGTTATGAATGACAGTGAGAGCCCAAGATCCATTTTCAGGGCCCTGATGTGGATGAAGCCACCAGTGACTCTCTCTGACCACTGGCCAGGGCCGTGAAGGGCCTTGCTATCAGACACAGTGCATTGGAAGGTGGACTAACGCCAATTTAGTTAGGTTAAAATTTAACACCTTATTTGTTCTCCCTTCTGACCCATTTAAAATTTGTTCTAGTTTTAATATTTTGTGTTATTTTTTCAAGTGATGTTTCTTTTTATTTGTTGTTGTTAGTTT